ATTGGAACAGGCTGCCCAGGGAAGTGGTTGAGTCCCCATCCCTGGAAGTATTTAAAAGACGTGTAGATGTGGTGCTTAGGGACATGGTTTAGTGGTGGACTTGGCAGTGCTAGGTCAATGGTTGGACTCGATGATCTCAAGAGTCATTTCAACCTAAACGATTCTATGATTCTACCTCTTATTCATGAATGTATTCAGCTATGTATCTTATTAATTTTTTTTTCAGAGTAGGAGAAGTAGATAGCTTGAGAGGCATTTGGAAAAAAAAAAATTACAATTTACCAAGAAAGCAGCATATGGCAAAAGCTTCATGTCCTGATCTGTTTTTTCGTCTACAATGGCTTTGTTCAGATTTGGCTATGCTGGTTTTTTTAACAGTGGTCTAGAGTCTGAGCTGCAGCTATTTGTTTTCAGCAGCTGTTGTAACTTGCAACTGATTGTGTGAAGAGTGTGCTCCATTCCTCATTTATGAGGCAGAAAGAACCCTGATGCTTCTGCTCCCATGGTTTAATTGCCGGCAAAGTACTGGGCAGAGTTAACTGAGCAGAGGGGTCCAAATGATATTGAAGATTCCTTACTGAACTTTATTTGTCAAGATGGTTTTGGTATCTTTTTCATAGTTTGTGTTTAAGCAGGTTGTGTAACAACTGTGTGCCCAAAAGGGGACATCGTGTGACTATTGATTTGCTCCCTAGCAATACTACTGACAAAGCTGTAAGTAGAGCTGTGGTTAGTTAGATCTACCTCGGTCTCCTTGCACATTTCACTCAAATGACTTTATGGCTAATTCTGCTGAAGCCTTAGGGAACTTAACAAATGCACATCATAGATGAGGAGTTGACTTACAGCTAAGATGGTAACTAAGAATATAGCAAGTATTTAGATGAGAAGCAAGACTCAGACCTAGCTGAAATTAATGATGCTTGAAGAAGCATAGTCAAGAAACAGGGATGAATGGTTGTTAGAAGTGAGACTACCTGGAAGTTACCCTGTAGATTTCATAGGCAGGGAGCTGTTTTTATAATCTTTGATGGATAACCAAAAGCTAAATCTTGTGCTTCTTGATAAATGCTCCACCAAAAACCTCTATTTGGAAATGTAACAGCCCTGATGCTTCTTTTTGCCAAGAGAGATATTTTTTTCTTTTTTTTGTCTAATCACAAGATGAAAGAAACTAGAGGAATAGCGGAGGTCAAAACAGTTGTCTGAGAATTAGGTGCTTGCTCACTTAAATTGCTCCCCTTGAAACACTGTGAGATTTCAGCCCTTGAAGTGCTCCCAACAGATTATTATTCAGAATGCAACAGCTCTGGAGGAGAAGATGGGAGACCAGTCTAGAACAGCTGCTATTTTAGATAAGGACCCTTGCAATAGAGGGGATACTGGAGTTGGGATTTGAACCTGAATTTTGTAAACTTGAGTGAGATGGATGTTTCCTTTTTTCCCCCCCACTCTTTTGAAGTTTAAGCTGTGAACTATGAAAAATTAACTGACATCTAAGAGTGTTTATTACCTATGAATGACTTAATTTCCTAGTCATTTTAAATGTCTGGGCATCTACCGTCACCAACTCCCAAAGGATTCACAAAGGTGGGAAAATGTAATTTTCCCCACTTTACTGCTAGGGAAGGAGTGAAGCAGTTTATTAAAGGTTGCAAATGAGTCAGTGACAGAGCTCTGGTTAGAACTTGCCTACTTCTTTCAGCCTTGCCTTTTGGGCTCCTTAGGCACTGTGTTGTGTGTGTGCATGCATGTAAGAAAGGAGAGGCACAGGCTGTTTAGAGGACGAGACAGAAAGAAACCCATGTAGTGATGCAAGGATGGAAGAGGTAACTGAAGTGTGGGCTGGATAACTGACTAATTTGAGATAGGAAGTAGCCTGGAAGACTTAGGATAAATTAATGTAGTGTTACAACTTAATCATTTGTAGCATTAAGCCAAGATATGTTTTTTTCCAATCCTAAACTGGCATAATAGAGAGTAATGAGCTTACAGCTACTCACATGGGGCTGTCTGGGCTCTACGTAGAATCTTTGTGTTAGAGCCTTGTGGTGTGGACAGGGGTTGGTCCACATACCACAGCTGAACAGAATGACTTATGTAACATAAGTCATGATACCTTACTTCTATTTTCTATAGTAATTTTTTTTTTCTTCCTTATCTGATAGTTCATAGATTTCAAGTTTTTGTAGCACCTGGCACTAAACTAGAGAGCGGGCCTGCTACCCTGCATTTCTGCAATGACATTCTCGTCCTTGTAAAAGACCTTCCTCCTAGTGTCATGGGGCAATGGAAGCTCTCAGATCTGCGTCGGTATGGAGCTGTCCCAAATGGATTCATCTTTGAAGGGGGTACCAGGTGCGGCTTCTGTAAGTACAAATGGAACCTGTCTTCTAAAAGTTGTTTGAAACCTTTTGTAGAAATGTAAATGTGAGTCTCGTTCAAAGTGGAGTTTGCAGAACCAGCTGTGCTGCTTTGTCATACAGGCAGCCTCATATCAGAGGGTCTGTTCTACCGAGTAGATTTCTGCAGGCTTCAACCCTGGTGTTCAGTAAAAAGGTGACTATGTGGAGTCCTGACTGAACATTGCCCCGAGGCTCTCCAGATGTTTAGTCAACTGTTGCTATTGGACACAGAGCGAAAATAAGGTAATGACATTTTATGGCTTGTGTCATGCAAGAGAGAAGGCAAAATGGTTTAATGTTCAGATTATTACATTATGATTAATTATTTTTTTGTTTGCAGAGGGAAAAATGATACGGAGCTTTGAGGTTACAGGTGGCATCAAGGCCCTCATTGTGTAAATGCTAATGTCTAATTCCCGTAGAGGACTTCTAGCTCCTAAAAGTTAGGAACTTCTGTCTGTTCCCTTCCCTGTTAGTAGCTTTGTCACTTTATGGGACCATGAGATTCATGGGGTCAAAATGAAAGCAAGCAAGCAAGCTGAAGCTAGTTTCTGTAGCCTAGTAGCTAAGATACCCCTTTAGATGGGGAGAAATCTCTTGTTCCGATGTCCAGCTTAGGACTCCTCACATTCTCACTTCAGATAAAATGCAAAGCTCCTGTGCAAGAGCTGGAAAGGAAAGATAATACACTGGTATAATATCATATACATCATTAGAAAACATAAGGTTTTAACTTCAAAAGCGGAGTTTGAAGCCATGCTGAATTGATGATCTGTGAGTGCAAGTGGGTGTGCAGATTGCCAGTTTGGACGTGAAGTTGTTTGACTTGCATACTGAAATGTGAAAATAATGGATTTCTTCAATTACCAAACTGAAAAAAATAGAAGGTTTCAGAGTTGATCCAAATCCAAAGATATTCTTCCTCGGGACTTTTGGCAAAATTTGGAGACGAAAGGGAAAGAAATTATTTTTGACTGTCTTATTCTAGTGAGGGGTTTTTGTTTTGTCTATTGAAAAGTACAGAGCTGTGTTACAAAGATGGTAAGTATGGACTCAATTGTTATATCCTGATTCCTGATTTAAGGCACTTGTCTTCAATGTGGAAGATTCTGGTTCAAATCTTTCCCTGCCTAATTCAGAGGCTGGGGTTAAAGAAGGGTTTCCACCACCTGAAGGAATGGGTTATAGGTATATCCTGTGAGGAAGCAAATCCATTTTCTTTTAAGGTTATTCTGTTTCAGTTATCAACTGGTATGGGAACTGCAACACAAGTATCTTGTTTCCTAGTGATGTGGTTTAGACTGTGAGAAAGAACTGGCTATAGAGTATAAGGGGGAGTCACCACAGTCACCTTTTCCCCCTCTCTTGTAGATAGTGCAATTGACCCAGGCTAAACTTGAACCTGCAGCGTAGGTCTGCCAACACCTGCAGTTTTGGTTTGAACAGTTTTTTTTCCATGCAGAATAAAGCAGTTGTTCATTCCTGTGTCTGTATGCAAGTACCACTTTAAATGCAAGCTGGACTTCTAGTGAATGTATGCACTGCTATGCTGGCATAATTTGGGTCTGCTTTTTGAATTATTAACTGAAAATAGAAAACTTAATTTTGAACTAAACACTTCAGAATGCTTACAGGGAGAAAATTTCCCAAAGTTGAACCACAGTGTGTTTTTTCTCTTTTTAAAAGGGTGCTGCTATTTCTGGAAAGCTTGTGTAGAGTACTAGTTTTTGAACTAATGAAATCTGAAATAATTTAACTAGGGAAAACTTATGTTTAAAAAAATGTAGGGAGCTGAAGTAGAAATGCTAGGCAATCTTTAAGTAAGATTAGCAGCGATTAGGTAGACAGATTACACAGATCATATAAATTATCAATGTAATTCCTCAAATGAGAGAATATAAGACTTAACTATTTGAGTAATTGGTAGCCCTGAGACTCTCTAGGGAAGCAGAGCCTCTATAATTTTTATTGAGTAAGAGGTGCAGCAGCACTGTGATATGTTTGATTTGGTTTTTCCTTTGAATCTTAACGCAGGTGCCTCAAGTGATGAAGACAGTAATTTCTTACTAATAAGGGCTTCAAATAATGGCTTGATTTTTGGAGTATATAGTTGATTGCAAATGGAGTACTGGTGAATTCCAAGCATGTGTTTTATGCAGACTTTCATTAGAATATGGAAGGAGACAAAATAATATTCTGAGGGCTATCCAAAAGTGGAAATGACTAGCAGAAAATAATGATGGATGCCAGGACTTATGTTCCCCTTTAAAAATAATGAACAAAAAACCCAATTGTTTTTTTTTCTTTCATGCTTTTTCCAGAAGGACTGTTCAGCGCTGACTGACAAAGCATTTGCAACACACGTTGTCTGAAGAGTCCATTTCTTTGATATACTGCAGTTTTGAGAGGGACATTGTGATAGGGTATAAAGAACAGACATTTAGGAGTCCTTAGTAAATGTGATTTTTATGATAATGTTGATGAATGGATATGACTTCAGTTCTGTTTTTCATTCCTGAAAGCATAGAAGTAAGGGGTATTTGCAGATCAAAATGAAATGTGCTGACTTATTTATCACCCATTCTGTGTGGAAGGATCTTTCATTAGTGGCTGCCTGAACCAAAGAACTTAGAAAATGCCTGGTTCACTACTAGAACTGAGTACTTCACCTGCTTACTTGTGCTGATTATCTTCATAGAATCATTTAGGTGAAAAGACCCCGTCTTTTAAATACCTCCAGGGATGGTGACTCAACCACTTCCCTGGGCAGCCTGTTCCAATGCTTGACAACCCTTTCGGTGAAGAAATTTTTCCTCATGTCCAATCTAAACTTCTCCTGGTGCAACTTGAGGCCATTTCCTCTTGTTCTATCGCTTGTTACTTGGGAGAAGAGACCGACACCCACCTCGCTACAACCTCCTTTCAGGTAGTGGTAGACAGCTTGCAACTAGCCAGTAAATTTCTGCTGTGGTGGTTACTGTTGTAGTCAAACCACCTCAATGTGTAACATAGCTGCGAGGAGGTGCACAGGATGAGGCTGGATTTCTAAACACAGTGCTGTCAGGAATGATGGATGAATAAAGAAGTGTCTCTAGTGTTTAGTACAAGATCTTGTTCCCTGGAAAGATTCCCTAACGATGTGGGGACCACTGATATTACTCTAGTAATCTGTGTGGCCTTATGAGCTCTGCAGATGAGCAAAGAGGAGGCTCTGCAGGGGGTAAGTAGCAAGAAATTAGATGGTTGAGCCAGTCTCCTTCCTGCTGGATTCCTGTCTGCTTGAAGGCATCTTCCCCACAGCTTCCTAGGAGGTCCTGTAGAGCCTTGCTTTGAGGCATGCAATATATGCTCCTCAGGTGTATGGCTTGCCTAAATCTTGTGTTCATCCATTTAATATTAGTTGTTAGAGGATTGCCTGTGTCCAGAAAGCTGAATATAGCATCTCCACAGGCACTGTTTTGAGGTCACCTAACTTCCAAGTATTCAGCAGCAAGGCACTTAACATATAAGTGTAAAGAATGAAGGTATGTTCCAGTAGGGTCTAGCTAACATACCCAGTCCTAAATTATTGTGTTTAATAAAACTTATCTGTTCTCTTCATTTGGTTTTGTAATGAAATGGATCTATATTATCAACTGTGTACTGTTATGATCTGTATTTATGATTGGAATGGAATATATTAGATTACTAGTATATCACCCTCCAGTTCTATGTATTGCTCATGTTATGTTGTTAAAGATGTATACTTCCCCAAATAAAATCAGACCAGTAGGTAAGATGAACTGTTTTTATGTGATTAAAAAAAATGTTCAGTAGCCCATATGGTGAATATAGGCCACCGGCCACCTCAGTTTGTGCATTACATTTTTTTTACAGTGTTTAGGGAATAACAGTTTCAGTCTTTTTATTCTTAATTGGGTTTTGTAGTAAATGCTAATGTATGTTATAACATTACTAATGTATTAGGAACTTCCATTTACTGTTAATTGATTTGAAAGAAAATTTTATGCTTTAATACATAGAATATCATCAGTTCACATTAATGCTCGAATTTTGAAAGCTAGCAAGTAAATGAACAAAAATATTAATCTGAAATAACTTTCTGTCAATTTTTGCTTAGTTGTTTGGTAGTACAAATGAATGCTGTAATTTATTTTGAAAGATTGGTGGTGCTTTAGCACAGAGAATTTGCCATAGCAGTTGTGTTATTAAAGTGTTGATGAGACACTGCTGATCTGGTTATACAGCAGAGTTATAGAAAGCTAATTATTAAGTTTATACAATACAGTAAGAAGCTAATTTTTTTAGAATGAGATCAGAAAGAAACTTCCAGTTTGGATGTCACAAATGCCTAAATGTCACAGAATGCTTGAGGTTGGGAGGGACTTCTGGAAGTTACCTTGTCCAACTCCCCTGCTCAAAGCAGGGTCAGCTAGAGGAGTTTGCCTAGGACCATATCCAGTCAGGTTTTGCATATCCCCAAGAATGGGCACTCCACAACCCCTGTGAGCAACTTCTTCCCATGTTCTGGTGTATCAGCTGCTCCTCCCAATTTTGTATCTCCTGCAAACTTGCTGAGGGTGCACTCTGTCCCATCATCCAGGTCATTAATGAAGGTGTTAAACAGTATTAGCCCCAACGTTGACCCCTTGTATACACCAGTAGCGATGGGCCTCCAGCTGGACTTTGCGCTGCTGATCATAACCCTTTCAGCCTGGCAGGTCAGCCAGCTTTCAGTCCACCTCACTGTTCACTTATCTAGTCTGGGCTTGATCAGTTTGTCAATGATTTGTCATTTTATCAAAGATTATCAGACTGGTTAGGCTTTATTTCCCTTCTCTAAATCCATACTGACTACTCCCAGTCAGCATCTTGGAAGTGGCTTCTAGGATTATTTGCCACCTTCCCCTCTCTGTGGTTCCCTGAATCCTCCTTCTTGTCCTTCTTGAAGATAGAAGTCACGT